TAAATATGGGGTCACCTTTGCAAAAGAATGAAATTTTCGCTATGTTAAATGCTTTCCCATATTAGTGCTAAAATTTATGTCATGTCAAGAAAAAATTTCCCAAATAAAAAATAATAAAAATTTGGGCACATAAAAATGTGTCTATTTAATTATCTTTTTTTTTTTCTGGTTTTGTTTTTAGCCCGGAAAAAATGCCCTTTTAAAACTAGTTTGGGGGTACCGGTGAGCAGTCAGTTGGTTTCAAAAAATAAACAGGGGTAAAAAATTGTTTGGGTTATTCCAAATTTAGACTTATCGTTTTCTTTGACATTTATGTTTGGGGGCAAATAGCAAAAGTTATTTTTTGATCCACGTGTAATTAGGGTTATATACAGGGGTTTGAAAGTAACCCAAAATTTAAGGAACTATAATAAACGACTCAGTATTGAATGTTTCGTTTTAATGATAGAACCAATGAAATAGTCGGTGTTCTAAGACTATCTAACATCCTTGTGTTGTAAGACAATCTTACATCATTTTGTCGGACAAATCGGTGTTGAAAGACAATCTTACATCATTTTGTCGGACAAATGGGTGATGTAAGACAATCTTACATCATTTTGTCGGACAAAAAAATCTTACATCATTTTGTCGGACAAAGTGATGCTCTAAGACAATCTTACATCATTTTGTCGGACTAAGCGATATTCTCAGACTATCTTACATTATTTTTTCATAGTATATTACACTAAAGCCTTCGGCCTAACGTTACCTTAGTTAATAAACGTAATTTGAGAATGTAATTGATTTTCCTTTCAGATAACAAATGGATACAAAAAGGAAATTTTGGATATAGCAAATGATTATGTAAGCAACACAAAAGACTCGGTAAGTAATTAGCTATTCGTTTTTTTGCATAATAAATTGGCAAGTGAAGATAATGTATCGATAATGAATTTAATAATCATTGTTATTTTTAAAGAGGTCATTGATAATTGTCCTTGATTAACATTTTTACCAACGTGAGGATCATTAAAGACACAATTTAATCATTTACATTATTGTCATCAGTTTTTATTATCAATATTGTATTTTTTATTCTCGTGATAATAACAATTATTGAATTTGTGTGATCTACATCGTTATTATACTAATAGTTAGGTTTGATTATCATTATCGTCAACGTCACTCAGCATGATTAGTGTAAATGCCAGCATTGTCGTTGCGACCGCCTCCGTTGTCGAGGGCTTAGAGTCGATGACTTCTAATCCAGTTACCTCTCTGGCGTGGGTTCGATCACCGGGGGATGGCTTGGTGTTTAGGCGCGGAGGGAAGGGAGTCTATACCGGTGTAACTCTCCAGGAACGATTTTTTAGGAAAAATACCCGCCATATTATCTGAAATAAATGGTGAAAAAAAACGTAAATGAAACAAAAAAGCATTGTCCCTTATCACCCGACGTTTTTGTAAATTTTTGTTATCATAATGGTAAAAACCCTGTTTACTACCCTTGGTTAATTAAAGATCAACAAAACCACGAAAAATTATTATCGTAAGTCATAATTTTCTGTTAATGTTATAATAATTTTTCAACGCCACAAATGTCTTTTTTTATCATTATAAACACATAATGTTTGCATTATCGTTTTTGCATACGTTAAGAGGGTTTTCAATTATCGTGAACACCAAAGTTTTTATTAAAGGTCTTTTCCCTCACGTTTTTCATTTTTGTCAAAGTCACGTTGAACAATTATGTTTTATTGCATGCTTTTTTGGTAGAATACCAGCGTGAATAATACTAGAAACCCACTTAAGGTATTAGAACCCTAATGGGCACTATCAGGAACTAAAAATTTGACATCATAAGTCAGATGTATACCTTAATGTACACCTGTATGCAAAATTTAAACAAAGTTTACCGTACGGAAATCAAGTTATGGCCACTTTTCTGAACTCAAGTTAGGATGTTATGAGGGCCCTTTTTTAGAAAGTAGGAACCTTTAAATAATCTGCAATAACATTCTAATGAAAAATGTTTTCCCATTAATTTTTGGTAAGAAACAAATAGTACCATTCAGCTAACAATCCAAATAAGCAAAATTATGGTTTCTACTTAAAATTTATGAAATCTGTATAAAAATGTTACCCTACCCCACTCATTTTTACCACGTGTCTGACCATTTTTCTACTTAGAAAGCCTAATTTAAAAAATTCTTAAAATTTACCCAAATGAGTGCCTGTTTTCAAAGTTTCCCTAAATTTTTAAAAAAGTATATTGGTTGATCTTGTAAAATATGAAATACTTTTACCGTCTAGTTTTGATTATATTACACTTTGAAAATATCAGGTACCATATTTATTACTATATTTAGCATAATTTAGCCAATAAATACCTATATAAATTAAAAAATCAAAATTAAACACTTTTTTCTTTCCTAATGGGACATGAGAGATACATAAATAATGTTAAAAGAAAAAAAGAAAGAAAAAAAAAGTTGACCCTTCTGGGGATTGAACCCATGGCCCTCATTTTCAATGCAGTTAACAGTAGTTCTTGCCTATTTGAATACTCTTCAAAGCGGAGGTAATGCATTAGGGTGCTAATACCTAGTTGTATTATTATTTTGCGCGATTTTCATTTAGTATTAGGTTAAAATGTATTTTTAAACGTTCCATTCTATATAATAAAAATATTGTTACGTTTAGTGTAAGATCGAAATATAGTTCACCTCGTGAACACCAAAAGTTCATATTTCACTCGTGGCTGTGTCACTCGTGAAATACACCTTTGGTGCTAACTCGGTGAAATATATTCCGATCTTACACTGAACTAAACAAATATCCTCTCAACGCCACGTTATCATCATCGTTAAAGCCACGTTAACTATCTATTTTATCATTATCATCAACACCACGTTTGCAAATTATGTTATAAATATCGTCAACATCATGTTATCATTACCGACACCATTACATTGACTATAAATGTTATCCTATCGTCAAAAACACACTTACTATCTTTGTTATCATTATTGTCAACATCTCGTTTATTTTTTATTCATTATTATCGTAATTATCACTTAAAAATTGCCATTACCATTATCGTTATAATTACCATTACTGTTTATTTCAATATTGTCGTGAACTTCTAGTTTAATGTCAACGTTATAATGTATTCAATATTATTGTTTCTATTCCTCAGATCAGGAATGACATTGGCAAATGTACACCATTATGGAACCTCTATGATTCCATTATATTGACGTCAGTGTGCAAATACATTGTTGATTCATTCGTGAGTTCTCTTTTCTTGCATTGGAATGCATAATTATTTTATCGAACAATTTCGAACGGCATTTATTGGACATTCGAATAAATTTAGTATCTTATTATTTATTAATGTTATTTTCTCTAAAACTTTATTGTTTCTTAAAGTATACATGCCAAAAGATTTTATATTATTTCAAATCATAGTTTACATAGTTTTTATTTTACCAACTTGTCCATGCCATATTATTGAAACAATCAAAAATATAGAAAAGGAACATGGAACGATAATATACCAGATAAATAATAGATAATGTGCTACGTTTATGATATATAAATCGTTTTCATTGCATAAACATAGCGTTAAACTATAGGCGCTAATGAAATTTGGTTCTTTTTCCATTCAAACGATCTTTAATTTTGGTATGTGATAAATATAATATTAAATTCGTATAAGTTCAGAGACTCGCATAATATAATTTTATTCAACTCGTTCAATAAATTCAGTATTAAACTTACACTCATTCAATATAATTTTCAGAATGGTTTCTGGTTCGCGATCGGATGGTGTTTATTCTTTTTCGTTCCAAGTATTGTATTTTCTGTAAAGCTTGCCAAACATTATCGCACCATGAACAGCGACGCAGAGTCAGATATGTGAGTACACTTAAAAGCTGCATTCTTCCAGATGAGCAAAAAAAATCAAGAAAATCAGACTTGATTGAAATTAACTTAGATTTTAAGCAAAATAGATACATTCACAATTCAAGAAATAATTTTCATGTTATGTGCAATTTATTACTGTTTCTTGCAGTATTTAAATTATCATATTTCTACTGCGTGACTAATTTTGCACATTCGTTTTTCTTATTTTTGTAAGTGCAGTTTGCAAAGTGCAAATTACTTTGTTGTTCAATTTACAATTATTTTCTTTTTAATATATTTTTTGAAAAACAATCTTTAACAATAGGATGAATCTGGAGGTATTCTGATTGAACGTGATTAATAAATGCTCTATAAACTTATGAAAGCCTGACCATATTGTTAAATGGATCTCTAATTTGCAGAATTTTGATACAAAAGCGGACTGTAGAGTGCGAGGTTTTTAAAGCATTGTATTTTACGTTTAATTCGTGACTGTCGCACGAAAACAGTTAAGCAAACCATGTATGAGTTTTGAACTTACTATTCTTGTTTGCATTGCTAATCCCTATAATAAATTTCAGAATTTCCAGTACGGTGTATATCGTATAGTGGCATTTTATTTAGAAACCATTAAAACATGTTGTTACTTGAAACATCATGTACCTCAAACAGACATTTTATTCCAATGTGTTAGTGTTTTCTTTAATCCCTAATGGAAACAATTGCTTTTCTTATTTTTCCTACAGACCTAAAGGTGACACAAATAATGCTTACGACACCAGTTCAAATGATCACTTTAGAAGGTATGATATGGAACGCCGTGACTGTCTTATGTAATCAATGTTTTTGTTATCTTGTGAAACAATGATATTATTTTGTTGTTTGAGCATGTTAACATGTGCAATTTACATCATGTCTTGTCAAAGGAACATGCTGACTTGTACAAACAGCATGTTAACTTGTCAAATTATTATGATGACATGTGGAGACAACATGCTAACTTGTCAAAGTATCGTGATGACTTGTGCAAATGACATGGTAACTTGTCGAATTATTGTGATGACATGTGCAAACAGCATGTTAACTTGTCAAAATGTAATGATGACTTGTGCAAACGACATGTTAACTTGTCGAAATATTGTGATGACATGTGCAAACAGCATGTTAACTTGTCAAAGTGTCATGATGACTTGTGCAAACGCCATGTTAACTTGTCAAAGTATAATGATGACTTGTGCAAACGACATGTTAACTTGTCGAATTATCGTGATGACATGTGCAAACAGCATGTTTACTTGTCAAAGTATCATGATGACTTGTGCAAACAGCATGTTAACATGTCAAATTACCATGATGACTTGTGAAGACAGCATGTGAACTTTTTGTATCATTTTTGTAAAATTTTGTATCATGCTGACATGTCAAAACGTACTGTTAACTTGTCAAAGTATTATGATAACTTGTGCAAATGTCATGCTAACATGTCAAAATTCCATGATGACATGTGTAAACAGCATGTTAACTTGTCGAATTATCGTTATGACATGTGCATACAGCATGTTAACTTGTCCAAGTATCATTATGACTTGTGCAAACGACATGTTAACTTGTCCAAGTATAATGATGACTTGTGCAAATGCCATGCTAACTTGTCAAAATTTCATGATGACATGTGCAAACAGTATGTTAACTTGTCAAATCATCGTGATAACATGTGCAAACAACATGCTAACTTGTCCAAGTATCATGGTGACTTGCGAAAGCGATATGTTAACTTGTCAAAATTTCATGATGACTTGTGCAAACAGCATGTTAACTTGTCAAGGTATCGTGATGACTTGTGCAAACTCCATTCTAACTTGTCAATGTATCATGATGACTTGTGCAAATGCCATGTTAACTTGTCAAATAATCTTAATGACTTGTGCAGACAACATGTTAATTTGTCAAAGAACCGTGATGACTTGTGCAAAACACATGTTAACTTGTTAAGGTATTATTAGCATGTCATCACGATAATTCGACAAGTTAACATGCTGTTTGCACATGTCATCATGAAATTTTGACAAGTTAACATGTCGTTTGCACAAGTCATCATGCTATTTTGACAAGTTAACATGTCGTTTGCACAAGTCATCATGATACTTTGACAAATTAACATTTGTCTGCACATGTCATAATGATTATTTGACAAGTTAACATGCTGTTTGAACAAGTCAGCATTGTCTTTAGACAAGATATGATGTAAATTGCACTTGTTAATATGCTTAAATGACACAATAATATCAACACTTCACAAGATATCAAAAACATTGATAGCATAAGACAGTCACGGCGTTCCATAGTATAATATTTGATACAACTTTCATGTATTATTATATAGATGTTAACAGTACTTAATAACGTCAGCTCTTTATCTATATATTAATGCTTTTAATTAAATGACTGTAGTATCATCTTAATTTCCATTCAACATATGCTTTATAGACCCCACTGACGTGTCTGGTAGCCAATTATCGTGCCTTCGTTTTTCGCCTTTTAAGGCGAAGACACGACGACACGACGAATATAGGGCGCCGATATGAAAATTTCTACCCACCGACACGAAAGTTCTACAGAAGAAGACCTCGAGTCTTCGCCCATTTAAATATTGCTATTTCGCCTAAATGTATCGTGTCTTCGTGTCGGCGCCCTCTTAAAAGTCATACAAGGCAAAGGCTCGATAAGTGAGCACTATCATCGTGTCTTCGCTTTCAACTTACGAGGGGCGAAGACACGAAATGGCAGAAATCAGCCACCATAGATGAGAGAATCATTTTACAAGAATTGGTACAACTTGTTATCATCATGAGCTATGATATTTTAGAATGATCATAGATTAAACATTTATTGTTGTTGTTTTTTATTTATAGTAACAAGGTTGGACACTCGGATATTCCTGACAGTCAATATTAAAACAGACGCCCAACATACAACATGGACTAGTTGGGAAAAATTTGAACTTTTATTTCAATTTTCTTATTATTTTTAACTTTTGTATGTCTTAAAACCATCCCCTTCCAGAAGAGAAAAATGCTATGATATATGAGCAATCAGCTGCCAATCATATTATCATAGTATCAAAAAATGAAAAATACGAAAAAATAAAAAAACTCTTATTGAACGTGTAACTGCACCAGCGTTTTTTTACACATACATGTATTATTCTTTTACCACTTATTTCGACATGTTTATGTTATAATTTTTGTATTCTGTTTTAATGAAGAATTAATGTTATAAATATTGTAACTATTGATGTTGAAGGATCACAATGCCCGTATATACATGTATAAGTTTATGGAAGTTTATTTAAGCTAGTTTGTTTAATAGAGAACTTTATTTATGCTCTAGAACTATGTCCACCGCTTAATATACACCTTCATCAAACTTAAGCAACTACGAATAACATTTATTTAAACAACAAAAGTCGCGTTAAAAAGACTTTTTAATATCTGTCTACGATACTACATTTAGAATTTAAGTCGATTATATGACGTCATAAAACAAAAAGCTGTGATTCTTTTTTACGGGTTTAATACCAATGAACTGTGATGTCTTTTCAAATTCCATTTGAAATACTTGTCTGTTATATGTTAGTTGTTTTATTTTTGTAGAAATCTTTCAAACTGTATTTTTTATTTACACAGAAGTTTTGTTAATGCATATTTTTGGAATATCAATTTTTTCAGACATATAGACCTTTTTATAATACGATTTTTCCATAGCATACATGTTGCATTTCGCGCATGCGCATTCTGCGTAGGGCAAAAGCGCAATAACGATAGACTACATTTAGCGTACTTGAAGGCAATAAAAGACGTGATTATAAGTTATGAAAACTGATTTTTTTTGATGAATTAAGCGGTTAGTACTTCAAACGTGAATTGATATTTATAACAAATATACAAAGTTAGCGGGCCTAATAATTCAATGACCATAAGTCCTGTTCAAGGTATCATACAATGACTTTTTCATCAGTAATTTAAATTGAAACAGTAGGGTGTTAAAGATATAATTTTATTACCCATGTATTACATATTCTAACACGACTCGCATTTTTCCCTATTGAACATAGAAGAACCGAAAGTGTGTGTTATAATGCTATAAAATCACTGTTTGACGTTCTATATTTAGACATGTGATGTAATCATTATACACGTTTGACGTAGCCACTAAAAATGTGACGCGCTGACAATAAGTACGGAAACAAATCAAGCACAATTAAGCTAAATATCAGGTACGGCAGCATTTATTTGTTGGTGTCGTGTTAGAATCGAAATAATATATCCAAATCGGTGATTTTATTGCTTGATAACATCACTGTGTGTCGTTCGGATGCGCATCATTATATCACTCGGGCTACGCCCTCGTGATATAATTCCTCGCACCCGAACTCCAAACAGTGATGTTATTGAGCAATAAAATCACAGTTTGGGATATATTATTTCTTAAATATTACACACTCGATATTCCTGCAAGGCGGTAATGAAGTGTCAAACGGATTGACACGTGATCGAGTGACCGCTTAATCGTTATTTGCCAGCTATAGATTTTAGTATCATTCAACCGGGACGTTTTAGTAACATGACATAGTCAATCACATAAAATTATGAAATTATCGTTATTTAAATTACTTTTTAAGTTTATACCATCAATGTTTATTAATTTTGTGAAGTGACAATTAAATAGTGTACGTGGGGTCAAGTTGGAAAAAAGATAATAGTAGATAAGCTGAAAACTTAAAATGCATTAATTATCACTTGTTCCGACTTATTTTCAGAATAATAATAAACCTCTATTTTAAATGTCTTTAGTTTTTATAATAACAATTTAAACAATTAAAAAAAACTTCTTTATTTGATAATATATATTTCGACATGTTTGTATAACAATTATCTCATTGTCATGTCCGTGATCGTAAGAGAGAATTCTATAACAGTCGTCTTTTCCGTGTCTTTTTTGTGGCAATTTTGGCCACAAAGCTATAAATGTATTTTTCATGTTTGTGTAAAAAAGCTATTTTATATGATTTCCTGTTTTTTACCTTAAACTGACTCTGAATTATCTATGGACGTTTTTTGCCCTACTCAGATTGCGCATGTGCGTGAAAATACTACTTCCGGTCAATTTTTTCATAGCAACAGACCGCGTCGTAAAAAGGTCAATATCATGCATAATGTGTTATTTTCTTCATAAACGTCATAGCTTTTAGTAATTTGCTACAAATAAGAAACAGAGTTTGGCTTTTATAACTTGAAGAGCATAATATTTTTTTCATACGCAATTAGATACACATATATATATCATAAATTGAATGAACGTTCTCCCTAAATAATCATTTTTTTCTGTTTGTGTAAGTATTGCATCTAAAAGAGTGCCTTTAACAGATGTTTATATACGAAATCTAGAAAATGTTATCCCTCGGATTCATCAAAACAAAATTACATGGAAATTGCAGACTCAGTTTGATCGAGTCTGTATATGAGGTAAAATGAAAAATGCAACATATCACACTCCCGCTAGCACCGGCTTGAGCGGTCCTAATTTTTCATCACTTAAAATATCTTGAAACAATGATTCCGAATCTAGTATACTGAGATTTTATATTTTCTATATTGCTGTTTCCAATTTTTCTATCACATGATACCAGCAATGCACGGTACATGCGTATATCACACTCTATTTTCCTTTTATCTATTTAAGTATTTTACAGATATTTGATTTTGTTATATCCGTCCAAACTGTGTACACTTTGTGTATTTATTTTATAATAAAGACATTAAAGATGAAAGTCTTTGTTTTCTTTTGCAAGCATTACTCATTAGAATATTCAGGCACATACAACAGTTGACAAGTCATGGTATATATGGACGAATTATTAACGTTTCACCTCCATCGCTGTTAACTGTAATACCTTTATGAACTATATAAATTTTCCTTTTTCTTATGTGTGAATGTACATAGTCTTATGCGTGCGCATGCGCTTGTGCGTTTTTTGCACAAGAAAAGGAAAACGACTCAAAAAGATCTAAGAATAAACGTATTTTTTTTATAGTTTTTACAAGCAATTTTGTTCATCTCTGTGATGTCATCAGATGTCTCCATTCTCTGACTGCAAAGAAATCAAATAAAAAACGGTTTATTATTGGTGAATATTATAGTATACTTCTTCAACAACAAGTAACTGATTACTACATGCAGTGACATCATATCCTACTGTGATGTTTTTAAATAAGAGACGTTAGCCTTTTTTCTTTTGTGTAAAAAAAGACATTTCTATAAACTACCATGAAAATCTGTCACTTTTTAAAGCTATGCAGGATATATTTCACTAAAGTTAGATATGAGTATTGTTATCTAAAATATAAAGGGCTACTCTCACGTTTGTATTTTATTTCAACGCAGGATTTTTAAAACATCATAAATAAATAAATAAATAAATAATACGAGTCAAGTGAACATTCTTGCATATCAGACAGGATTGATTTTATGAATAACGTTTTTTGTAATTTCCGTCCGGATTATTATTTATATATAAATGCAAGAAAAAATAATCAAACACCGGTTGTAGTCACAGACAGTAATATGTTACTTAAGAAATAATATATCCCAAACTGTGATTTTATTGCTCAATAACATCACTGTTTGGAGTTCGGATGAGGGGAATTATATCACGAGGGCGTAGCCCGAGTGATATAATGATGCGCATCCGAACGACAAACAGTGATGTTATCAAGCAATAAAATCACCGATTTGGATATATTATTTCGATTCTAACACAACATCAACAATTAAATGCTGCCGTACCTGATATTATGCTAAATTTCGCCTGATCTTTTTCCGTACTTTTTGTCAGCGCGTCACATTTTTAGTGGTTACGTCACGTGTATAATGATTACGTCACATGTCTAAATATAGAACGTCAAACAGTGATTTTATAGCATAATAACACACACTTTCGGTTCTTCTATGTTTAAAAGGGACACATGCTGGTCGTGTTAGAATCTCGGGTAACCGTTTAGGGGCAACTCAACAACTTCTCGTTAGTGCTGAAAACAATTACTATAGTGGGACGGGAAATAAAGTATCTGTTGTCAAAATAGTGCAAGTGGTGATACAAGCATGAAACTTTTTAATTGTATTTTCTCAATTTTCCGCCCCACTACTAGTATCAAGCTTGATATTAGGGTTTGTCAGGTCTGAACCGCCAGTCGTTGTTACATTCTTATTGTAGCTTATTTTAAAGTCTGACTATGCGTGTTTAAAAAACGCAAAAAAGTTGATAAATATCTTCACATTAATCAAATTGAAAAATAATCCTAATAAGTTAGGATATTAATGACAAACAATAGGATAAGGATGCTCTCCCGTAATTACCCTGCATTACAAACCTGTTATGTATACTTGCTTATACACGTATATAGTCCGAATATTTCATCGTTTTGAGATATTTGGTTCTTGTTCAGAATCTCGCTTCTTAAGGGGATATATTGTCCAGATACAAAATAGCATAATATCTTAACGTGTAATTAGTTGGAATGGCATATGTATCACTGAACATATCAAAAATCTTCCTCAAACCATAACAGAAAGAAGTTACATATGTATTTCTACGGTTACTGGGTTCTTTACCAATACTTTGTTGTTCTGTTCATCAAGTTACTGCCAACTTCTCATTCTTGACATGCTGTCCCTATTGCATAAACAGGGGCCTTATACAAGGGTTGAGGCCAGCAATTTCAACATTGCCATAAGCTCTCTACATGTAAAACCTTAACGTTATTGTCGAATGTTTATTACTTTACTATACTCGTATTTACTGCATTAAAGTGACGGCAGAATTGTCCAACACAAATGCAGACTGGAACGGTAGTGATCGCTTGGAGACGGAAAACGGAAATTTTACCTACTCGGTCTTGCCTTAAGACACCCACCCCCTTTTACCAAGGCTGACATTTGCAACCCCGATCTTATTCTGAAGAGCGGGCGTTTGCGCGTAAAACTTTTAAAGAGGGTACATTTGAATCGTCAATGTGACGATTCAGTGTAATTCTTTGACAAGCGGCGTAGGTGTGTGTGTTTAGAATGTAACTGACACAACATAAGCAACCGCCACTCATGAAATATTTATTTTCATACCACTTGATGAAAATAAATCATGTATTTACAGAAAAAACTTGAATATCCTCTATTTATTTAAATAACAAACGTCGCGTTAAAAAGAAATTTTTTTACATATCTGCCTACGATACAACATGTAGAATTCGAATCGATTATATGATGTCATAGAAAATGGCTGAATATGAAAATTTTGGGTTGCCGGTCCAAAAAGCTGTGATTCTTTTTTACGGGTTTAATACCAATGAACTGTGATGTCATTTCAAATTTCATTTGCAATACTTATTTGTGTTATATGCTAGTTGTTTTTCTTGGAGAAATATTTCAAATTGTATTTTTTATTTACACAGAAGTTTTGTTAATGCTTATTATTGAATTTTTTTCGGACATATAATATTATTATCCATAATGAATTGATAATTTTTATTTCATTAACTTCATGGCTTTTAGTAATTTGCTTCAAATAAGAATCATAGTTTGATTTTATAACTTGAAGAGCAAAATATTTTTTTCATACGCAATTAGATGCACGTTTATACATATAAAATGAATTCACTTTCGCCCTAAATCATCATTTTTTTCTGTTTGTGTAAATATTTCATTCAAAAGAGTGGTTTATAACAGATGTTTTTATACGAAATCTAGAAAATGTGACCCCCCCCCCCCCCCCCATGATTCATCAAAACAAAATTACACGAAAATTGCAGACTCAGTTTGAAGGAGTATGTACATGAGGTATAATGAAAAATGCAACATATCTCATGCCCACAGCACCGGCTTGAGCTGTACTCATTTTTGCAACTCATAAAAGTGCTGGAATCAATAATCACGAATTATGAGTTTTTAATTTTTCTATATTGCTGTTTCCAAGTTTTCTATCACATGATACCAGCAATGCACGGTACATGCGTATATCACACTCTATTTGCCTTTTGTTTATTTCAGTATTTTACAGATATTTAATTTTGTTATATCCGTCCAAACTGTGTACACTTAGTGTATTTATTTTATAATAAAGACATTTAAAATGAAAGTCTTTGTTTTCTTATGCAAGCGTCATTCATTAGAATATTCAGGCAAATAAAACAGTTTACAAGACATGGTATATATGGACGAGTTATTAACGTTTCACTCCCCCATCGCTGTTGAGGACTCTAATACCGTTATGAACTGTAATACCTTTATGAACTATATAAAGTTTCATTTTTATTATGTGTATGTACATAATCTTATGCGTGCGCATGCGCTTGTGCGTTTTTGCACAAGAAAAGGAAAACGACTCAAAAAGATCTAAGAATAAACGTATTTATTTTATAGTTTATACAAGCAATTTTGTTCATCTCTGTGATGTCATCAGATGTCTCCATTCTCTGACTGCAAAGAAATCAAATAAAAAACGGTTTATTATTGGTGAATATTATAGTATACTTCTTCAACAACAAGTAACTGATTGCTACCTGCAGTGACATCATATCCTACTGTGATTTTTTAAATAAAAGACGTTAGCCTTTTTTTCTTTTGTGTATAAACTACCATTAAAGCTAAGCAGGACATATTTAACTCAAGTTAGATATGAGTATTGTAATCTAAAATATAAAAGGCAAATCTCACGTTTGCATTTTATTTCAACGCAAGATTTTTAAAACATAATAAATAAATGAATAAATAATAATACGAGTCAAGTGGACATTCTTGCATATCAGACAGGATTGATTTTATGAATAACGTTTTTGTAATTTCCATCCGGAATATTATTAATATATAAATGCAAGAAAAATAATCAAACACCGGTTGTAGTCACAGACAGTAATATCTTACTCTCGGGTAACCGTTTAGGGGCATCTCAACAACGTTTCGTTAGTGCTGAAAACAAGTACTATAGTGGGACGGGAAATAAAGTATCTGTTGTCAAAATAGTGCAAGTGGTGATACAAGCATGAACATTTTCAATTGTATCTTCTTCATTTTCCGCCCCACTACTAGTATCAAGCTTGATTTTGGGTTAATCAGGTCTGAACCGCCAGTCGTTGTTACATTCTTATTGTAGCTTATTTCATAGTCTGACTATGCGTGTTTAAAAAACGCAAAAAAGTTGATAAATATCTTCACATGAATCAAATTAATAACCTAATCCTAATAAGTTAGGATGTTAATGACAAACAATAGGATAAAGATGCGGTCCCGTAATTACCCTGCATTACAAACCTGTTAAATTAAAACTTGTATTTCAACAGTATTGAAAACATTTTTATATCTTTAAAATAGTTGTTCGAAATATCAATGTTTGAAATATAAAGATCTATTTACCTTGTCAAAAACTTGTCTTTCAAAAAAAAAAAATCCACAGTGCATTATTTGTGTAAGTGTGCGGGTGTGCATTTGCGTCTTTTTATGTATGGCTCGTTTGTTTATGTGTGTGCGTGCTGGTGTGTGTTTTGATTCCGAAATTAGTTGCCTAGGAGACCACGTGAGGAGTCAAATGAATGGCAACTTACTAGTTATGTACAGTATCATTAAAATTCAGAATTTATAGAAAGACCTAAAAGGTCGAGCCTCTCAGTAAAGATATTCAAGTTAAGAGAGATTGACTGTACGGTTAAGCTGAGACTCTTTCACGGTTGCATGTAAAACCGCACAACGCACTTTTGGGTCAAACGCACTTTTGGGTCTCAATCGAGAAAGGAATCCAAAAGTGCTTTAGTTACGAAGCTGTCTATTGAGCTCTGCTGAAGGTTTTCTTACTGTGTAATGTTTTCCCGCCAAAACATTCTAACCACGGTCAAAAGCATAGCAAATCGTTTATTTTCTTTAAAAAAAATCAAAATCTTGGGCATAGGATGACTTACAATCATTTATCCTTTTATCGCTATGTACTAAATTTCTGTTATAAACGGTTAAACATTAGTGAATACTGAAAATTGTGAAAATATAACGTTCAAGAAATGACAGATTTAATACGATATTGCCAGATGTTATAAATATTTTGGCCGGAAATTATTTCAGTAATACTACCCTAAATACAAAGTACTGACTTATTTCGATATGCAACCGTATTCAAGACGACGGCCGATAGCATTTCCGAACTTTTCCGTATGCAAATGTACGAAAGCCTAATAGTGTCAAATGAAATAAAAAATAAAAATACAAAGGCGTAATAACGCGAATAAAGGCTTTATTACGCGAATCAAAAGGCGTAATAACGCGAATAAAGGCGTTATAACGCGAATCAAAAGGCATAATAACGCAAATCAAAAGGCGTAATAACGCGAAAAAAGGCGTAGCAACGCAATTAAAGGCGAAGTAACGCGAATAAAGGCGTTATAACGCGAATCAAAAGGCGTTATAACGCGAATCAAAAGTCGTAATAACGCGAATAAAGGCGTTATAACGCGAATCAAAAGGCGTAATTACGCGAATAAAGGCGTTATAACGCGAATCAAAGGCGTAATAACGCGAATCAAAAGGCGTTATAACGCGAACATAAAGGCGTAATAAAGCGAACCAAAAGGCATAATAACGCGAAACGAAAGGCGTTATAACGCTAATTTTATACCATAAAAATTCCAAACCGTAGCCTTATGATGTAAGATAGGAAGAACAATGTTGATTGAAATGAATTGATCAAGATATACTTTTTATTTTCAATTATGTACGGATACGTCCTAAGGCCACAGTCTGATTTTTTAAATCTTTTATTAGGAAATGCTTTCGTGAGATTAGAGGTTACTATCACCCAACTATAGATACTTTTCGATAAAGACAAAGAAGACAATGTCTCCTATAATTGTAACTTAACAGAAACACTTTTACCCCTCTAAGCATACTTATCAATAATTAGAGATACTTTCACCCGAATGTGCCTTACGTATGCCTTACGTTTTTCCAAATCTTGTTACCTATACCCAATTACCTATAGCGTAATTAGGAACGACATTCACATAATTAAAAGATACTACAGGTTATTAAGTAATTATACAGGACATATCTGTATATAATTGAACATATGACGCACATATAAAATAAGATAAGATGTAAGAAAAAATAGAAATTCATTTACTATAGTGACATGTGTAAAATGACTAAAATCAATGATGTGAATTCAGAGTAACTGTATTGACATATAACCCAATGGACCTTTAAGTCTCCAAGTCACCTGATATTGACAAAAATCAAAGAGTCTTCATTAGTTTGTTACACATGGTTTGTAATATTACTGCGCAAATGGAATCATAGTTATTGTAAATGTATATTATATTATTCTATACGAGTTTATATCTTGAGCAATAAATTCAGATCAATATTGTTTTTCCTTTCTCACGTTACTTCGCCATTTGATAAGTATAAATATGGTATAAAATTGGCATTATCATGCGTTTGAATTTGCGTTATTACGCCTTTTGGTTCGCGTAACTACGCCTTTATTTGCGTTACTACGCCTTTTGATTCGTGTTATTACGCCTTTTGTTTCGCGTTACTACGCCTTTATTCGCGTAACTACGCCTTTTGCTTTGCGTTATTACGCCATTTGTTTCGCGTTACTACGCCTTTATTCGCGTTACTACGCCTTTCGATTTGCATTATAACGCCTTTTGTTTCGCGTTATAACGCAAATAAAGGCGTTCTTACGCCTTTTAATTCGCGTTATAACGCCTTTATTCGCGTTAATACGCCTTTTGATTCGCGTTATTACGCCTTTATTCGCGTTATTACAACTTTTGATTCGCGTTATAACGCCTTTATTCGCGTTACTTCGTCTTTATTTGCGTTGCTACGCCTTTTTTCGCGTTATTACGCCTTTTGATTTGCGTAATTACGCCTTTTGATTCGTGTAATAACGCCTTTAATCGCTTTATTACGCCTTTTGATTCGCGTAATTACGCCTTTATTCGCGTTATAACGCCTTTGCATTTTTATTTTTTATTTCATTTGACACTATTAGGCTTTCGTACAAATTAGTTAATTCCGAGTGAAACCGATCGACCTCTATAGCTCTTACAAAGGGCGGGGATATCGAATGATGGCGATATTATATCCAGTTGCATCGGAGTGTTCCGGCGAAGTTAGATGGAAATTGTATGTTGTACTTACTTGCAGTTCATCAATAATGAGGATATATTTATGATTTAGGTGAAACTTTATGAAACTAAAGTGTAAGGTAAACTATCTTCGTTCAATAAAATAAAACCATCATAAAACACTAATTTGACCTTTCCAAAAAATTTAAAAAAATATATTAATTTATCTTTTTAAGTCCAAACAAAGTGTGTATCTGCAATTCTTTTATAATAGGCAACTGCTGCAACATATTTGAAAAAAAAAATACTTTCAGGCTTTATTTCTTTATTAAAAAGTGCCCAACTTGTCCTTAAAATTTCGTGCATTTAATAAAAAATCAAATGATAACAAGGTAGGTTCAACAGTTAGAGCCTGCAACATTTGACAATTTTTTCGTGTTGGGCTTTCTTTAAGAATTCTGTTTTCTCTATTTAACTGTTTTGTTCCATGATAGTGAATAATACAGTCATGTAAACTAGATTGTTATGCATAATTGTGATTGTTAGACTGATTTGATAGTCACTGAATCTGTAATGGGTGACGAATATTTGGTTACAACTGCTACAGATGCGCAGTTTCATTCTTATCTGATGGTATTATCAATGAATTGAACGGGACATTAGTGGTTCACTTTAGTATCCTTTGTGCAATCACAATCCTCTATAAATCTTTGTAGGAATATTGATTGATAATCTACTTGGGTGTATTTAAAGGGGGGAAATCCGAGCTGAAAAAAGTTGTCTCCCCTATAAGTTTAAAACGGCAATGATTTTAAATATAAGACAATGATGAAGAAATGAAACTACTGTAAGTTAGATGTAGCTTAGTTATATATGCAATAAAACTTATTGATAAAACTGACACTAAAAGACCAGGTCTTATACTTGCTTATACATGTATATAGTCAGAATATATCATCGTTTTTAGATATTTGGTTCTAGTTCATTATCTCGCTCCTTAAGGGGATATATTGTCCAGATACAAAATAGCATAATATCTTAACGTGTAATTAGTTGGAATGGCATATGTATCACTGAACATATCAGAAATTTTCCCCAAACCGTAACAGAAAGAAGTTACATATGTATTTCTACGGTTACTGGGTTCTTTACCAATACTTTGTTGTTCTGTTCATCAAGTTACTGCCAACTTCTCATTCTTGACATGCTGTCCCTATTGCATAAACAGGGGCCTTATACAAGGGTTGAGGCCAGCAATTTCAACATTGCCATAAGCTCTCTACATGTAAAACCTTAACGTTATGTCGAATATTTATTACTTTACTATACTCGTATTTACTGCATTATAGCGACGGCAGAATTGTCCAACACAAATGCAGACTGGAACGGTAGTGATCGCTTGGAAACGGAAAACGGAAATTTTACCTACTCGGTCTTGCCTTAAGACACCCATCCTCTTTTACCAAGGCTGACATTTGCCACCCCGATCTTATTCTGAAGAGCGGACATTTGCCCGTAAAACTTTTTAAGAGGGTACATTTGTACCGTCAATGTGACGATTCAGTGTAATTCATGCCGATCAACTCGTCTGGAATAAACTTTTACAAAAGAAGTACATGTATTTAAAAAAAATCAAACATAACATACATGTACTATACTTAGATTCGGATAATATTCACTTCTTCTAAAAATATTATTTACTTAGGCGGCTTGGATTTGAAAGTATACGTAAGAACACTTGATGTCCATTACTCGGATGCGAGAAAAAGGCGATTTTTTTAACAAACGATCATAATCAGTCCTGTGCATATTAAGACATAAAGACTTGGCTTAGCTTATTGATTGAATTAAGCCCGATGCCAGAAATACTAGCATTTCCAAAAATAATTGGACTTGCCGTTCAGACAGCTATCCAAAATAGTTTTTAGTGAAATAGACTCCTTCCTGAAAAATAGAGCAAATGTTTCTTCTTTTAAGAGAAATATTCCGTACATTGTTTACCCTATAGCAGCCTACGTACCGACTTTGGGCTTCGTACCTGAAGTTTTTTATGGGTAACTCAGGAAAATCATTGTGGATGGCTGGCCCGTACGTAGCGCCCGTGACGTCTCTTGACGTCCATTTTGTTATCAAGTATTATTACATTTTACAATTTGATTGGCATATTAGGACAGCCGGTGTACGGATAGAAATGGTCAAATCGTGTTAATTGTATATTTATATCCATCGTCCAGGCACTTAAGATTGAAATGTTTACGTTAGGTTTTACGTTGCATTAACACTGTAAATGTCTTGTGACGTGTTTTCAGGTTCATTTAAGGAGGAAGACCTCAGGTGGTATTCCGGACATTATTGCTACGTTCCGTGAGGGGCAAGCGGTTTTAAGTCAGCAACTAAACCTTTCGGCCACTGACGTTGCTAAATCCTATTGATCAGTTGATAAACATGTAGGATTGTGTCAGTCCTGAATGGGTGTGAAAGTGTTATGTATCGTTTAGTTTACATTAAAAACAAACAAACATTCTTCAAACATATAATTGTCATAGATAAAGGGTGACCAATAAAATATGTAAATGCTTACTTATAAACACTGACCTATACTTAATATTTTTCTTGACCAAGTACCGGTAAAATCTGGTTCTGTACATAAAAGCAATTAAAGTGTTGAACTTACTGTTGAGCAAGAAAACTTTCCGTATCAATATTGGGCTGTAAATGATTTCAGAATAAAATTATTTTTTTATGTAACAGTGTTTATTAGTAAGTAAAAAATGTCTATTATAGTCAAGTCAAGTCAATTTGTTTATTTAAGTCTCACTTTTGTACATTAAATGTATGATAGTACAGTTGGTTACATTTCACCATCGACAACTTTTGTCATTCTGTTTTATAATATCTGTAAATGCATTTTTATAAAGTACGTACTTAGTTCAGTATTGCACACTTTTCTTAAATCAATGAAATTATGTTGTAACATGTGTTATTTAATATTATTGATTTGAGATTTACGAACTAGTACACATATTTTACATATAAAATGTAATATCATTTATAATACTGCACGTTTGTAACGTCGTTTTTCTTTGGATAATCGTGATGTTTATAAAATTATACAAAAGTGATATACACGGCTGCTATCAATTTACAGAGTATTTTATTTTTCTTTTCTCAAAAATCAAGTTGTTGTTCGCTAGAAGGGAAATAACCGCAACAATATTATGCGAACTGTCTACAGCAAATAAAGTATTTTAAAAATGGAATTAATCATTCAGACTTTGCTAGCATGTTTCATAACACCCAATTTTAATATTTCAAAAGTGGATTTAACTAACGATATAAAAACAGACAAGGAAGATATACTTGGGATAAGGTTGTAGCGTATTAAGAAGATGAATCGCAAACACATTTTTTATGCGGCATGCAGGCTGGCTGGCAAATATTTATCAGACCAATGTATGGTTCATTGCCAAGTTAAGAGGACCATGGATAATGATCATGTCTGGTGAAGTCTACATGTATATAAAATGCACAATGATCGCAAAGTAACCAGCATAATGTATACTGGTATTACACAAAGAATAATTATTCAGGTAAATCACTCTCAAATTCAGTCAAGATTTTCTTAGTTTCATGTAGGCATTGTGTTACTGGTTGCACTATGTTCATGACAAAACATTCAAAAGAGACTTATAAAATGATACGAGTTCATATTTTATTAGTCTATGACTCGGCTGTATTTTGCAATGTACTGATGTGCTGATGTTTGAATATTGAACAAGACAACTAGAATCAGTAACTCAGAACGAATACTTTCTTAGGTGCTTTTGGATAAGTTTATTTTTTAAATTTTTTATTCATTAATTCTTAATCATGGCATACGAGTGTGTCTACATACTCTCAATACATTTTTTTGCAAATTGAACATTGGCTCAAAGCATGCTTCATTAGATAAAAGTATTGCAAGTACGTAGTTCATTTTCAACTGCTTTAACAGCTTCGACATCTCAGCACGAATAGGGCAACAGTGAGAGTGCTCGTAGTTTCTGTAACTAACCCTTCTGCAGGTGTTAAGTCATGTAGAAAGCACTGTGATGTAACTGGGTTAAAAGAATATGCAACACATGTGCGTTGATACGAAATGCAAGCATTTCGGCACACGATAGCTGTAACGACAGGAGAGATGATCTCCATATAATCATTTGACCTTGTATTCGCAATAGTTTCATGTCCATCCGTTATATAACAGCCTAAAAGAGATACATAAAGTACGAAATGAAAGTTAATGAAAATTTTTATCACTTTTTTCTCATTATGTATATTTGACATATTGAATTTTAAAGGTATGTTGTAATAAAAAGAATAGATGGATTAACCTATGAACAAGATTATATCCTCTATTATATCATTTTATAACTGAACATGTTTTATATGAATATTTTTAAACATTTGGAAGAAGATAAAAAGTAATCACGGATACCTAAGAACGAACAAAATGACATAAAAGAAAATGTTGTAGACTCACTTCGGTATGGACTGTTCATGAACGGTAATGGAAAATTCAAGTTACCGTTAACATCCAGGCAGTATACAGCATTTAAATTTTGAAACATCCGCTAATGTGTTAACACCTGTTTATCCCCTGTAACCCACATGTGCAATGAACCGCAAATATTTGAACAAGCTCGATAGCACTTTATGCTTAGTACATACAAAATGCAGCAAGTTTGATCAAATACGCCTAACAGACAATCAAAGATTCGAACAGCTGACATTAGATCAGTAAAATAACTCACCAGCTCCAGGTTGTCCACACTCTGCAGCACTCTTAAAACAGGTATTGTTTGCTGTGCATGTTGCTGGTAATAAGGCTTTTTTGAAAAATGAAATGAATAACAAATATTTAGAGAATAATCTTGATACCGCGATAAGATGATAAATGAAACTAATTTTATAACTTAATTTATCGTATTTATCTTTAAATTTGATATAAAACATCTTACACTGTATTTTGAGATATCATTATGGCTGATATTCTGTGAATTCAAAGATACCTGTTTCACAATTCCTTCCAGAGAATCCTTCTGGGCATATACAGGTATAATTGTTGACTCCGTCAATACAAGTACCGTCATTAAGACAGGAATCGTTGTAACAGTCATTTACATCTTAAAAGGTGAAATAACAAATCAAATCTTTAATTTTAAAATTCATATAACATTATACAACCAGCATATACGAAATTCCGGACGAATCATTTGGCCCCATTGCCATATGCGCAAAAGATAATTATTGTTCGAAATTTGATATAATGCCATTTTTTAGATAAACAATAACTTTATAAGTACTGTCTTTTGATATAAATTTTTTCAGGCATTACAACAAATTACCCTTCTATGTTATGTTATAATGACTCTTTAAAATGTCCATTCAAGTAGTTAACCTTAGGGCGCTATTGCACTCAGTAGATACAAATTAAATTATATCTTACTGGCCTGGCTTAATTTCGTTTCGGTTAAGGTAAAGATTAATTACTTAATTTGTCATTTATATATTATAAATGTCATTATTCCCTAACTTGTTCATCTTCTTACCTCAAAATTGAAATTATTGTAACTTTAAACTACTTAAATGATTTCGACTTTATTTCTGCCTTCACCTTAGTGATTTTGTTATATTTACCAAGCTCAGATCTGATGTTCTTGATATTTCTCGTATAATTAATCTAGATTCACTATGAATGGGTTAATTCTATGCATCTACGTAGCTTCAAATTATTTTCATGTTTTCATTTTTTCAATTTATAATTGTTGATACATATTACAGATTAATTGCATTAGTTATCTTTCAATATGAGTAAATATATGAGTGTTTGTACATATTACGAATTTGCCTTACTCATTCATATCATACATAAAGATCTTGTATTTTTATAAACTATATATGATCATTTGTGCAAACTTTAATAAGGATATAATTCAATATTATATTAATACTGTTCAGTTATGGAGGAAATTAAGATCATAGTAATACAATAACGATCTGTTATAAAATGTACTAACTTGTTTCGCAACAAGCACCTGTAAAACCCGAGTCTCCACAGTCGCACTTTATACCATCTAATTTGCTTTTCATATAACATTGTGCTGTGTTTTGACAGCAACCTGTTAGGAAAAAGGGGATTTTTTAAGAATGCAAAAAGAAAATAATTCAAAGAATAAATTTAGGTAAATTGTGTATTGACAGAGAGAGTATTTCAGTCGTACATGAAGGTCGATCACTAACGTATAGGTGTACAGTTAAGACTATACTGTAGGCGCTATTGCCATCTCTTTGACAAAAAATTAAAACAATAAAGGATGCATAACAATCTAAACCTTAAAAAGCAGCTGATATTATATATTGATGGCATTTCGTTCTAGTATATTTAAGGCATGCCCATAAGATTGTTTCGAACGTTGAACATTACCCTTTCAGAAACGACGCAGCATTATTTTTATTATCAAAATATTTAATACTTCATAGATAAGTATCAGTTTTTTTGTGTTTTTTTTTTTCAAAATATATCTTGTTCTTATTTCATTGTTTATTTAATCATTCGATATCAATGTACTTACATGGATAACATTTCATCTGTGCTTTTGCACTCGCTCTACCATAACCTGGCCGAAGACATGCGTAGCCCTCTGGACACTATTTAGATTTACCAAATTTCGAATAAGTAACATGTTGTTAACAAAGTTAACATTACTTATAACAATCTTTCAAAGGTTCTTGAAATAAATATGATGCATTTATCTGGATTTGACGTTTACCTCATAAGATATGAATTGAATTGAAAATAATCTTGATATATAAAATTATGATTTGAATACCTGAGCATTTATGATAAATACCTGTATCTCAGGTTCACAATTTTGTAGGTATGGACCCTTACAATCGGCATTCTGAATGATCGTTATCGCCAAAACAATCTGAAATCATTTTATTACACTTATTTCATTAGAGAACCATTGCTCATATTTGCAATATTAACATATATGTTATTTGTTCACAATTCAATTTTAATTTGAATATTTTCTTGTCAGTTTTCACGAGGAAAACAATATTAAATAGTTAATAATCATATTACGTATTAAGGCAATACATAGCAGGAAATCACTTTTGGTAATTTTAACAAGATTATTGAGTCAATCCTTTTTATCAAATTTGGTAAACCATTGTAATTGTAATTGTCTTTACATATATGTGTATGTTTCCTTTCTTTTTTATTTGGCAACAAAAATGTTTAAATCAAGGAAATTAAAATATTGCTTACCCTGACAAGAACCGACATTGTCTGCATCATCAGGTGGATATCTGAATCACAATATACAATTATACTATTATTGTTTACAATTTTATTTCGTACAATTTATCAACCAACATTTTCAGTAGACAGCCACGTTATTTTGTCCATTATTAAATTATGCCGAACAGATGGATCAGTGACTCAGAAAGTATGCATGCTTTAAAGACTAAACTTCACCATTGTTAGACTGAAATAAATAAATAATAAGGCGTAAATAGGCAGAAATGTATTTTTCAAATGAAAATAAGCAGAAAATAATTACAATCACGTATTTTAGCGTGCGCAGAGTGGTAACTTTCATTCTCTGTGTTACAAAATAAATCCAGAAATAATTAAAGGAAAAGAGAACAATCTTAAACTATTTCTTAAAATATCTAAAAATACATACATGCTTATAATCAGAAAAACCTTCATTTTTCAAAAATCACTGTCACCTTTTACCAATCTAAAACTTAGTATTTCATATTTCTAAACCTATCATTTAATATTTTAACATCTCCAGTTATAAATCAACCTTTCAGAAATACATCAATTCTCCAAAATCTCGTATCGAAATTCAACCAGAACTGTGACATATTTATGTCATGATGTAATTCAATCAATTTGCTTTATATGGACATAAGCTTTTCTAATAAAGGTGTTTTTAAATATATTTTACAAACGCCAGTCTAAGTTTTTGAACGAAGAAGGTCATATTGACTAAATATCAAAGTTAATCAGTGCATTCACATTTCATAAAATTCGCCGCCATTGCTGCCCTAATCATCACGTGACAATATAAATTTGGGTTCGGATACCTTTGCATGACATTTAGTGAACCGTGATCCAAATGCTATTTTTAATTGAAAACGTACCTTAATTATGAATAAAGTTGAATTTATTAAAAAAAAAAAAAAAAAAAAAAAAAAAAAAAAAAAAAAAAAAAAAAAAAACAGATATTTTTACCAAAAAAAATAATTATGTGAGTGATCATATTTATTTGAGTGATTGATTAATGATTTTTTGTTTGTATTTAATATTTAAAATAGTAAATAGTACCGTTCAAAAAAATGTGTACGTCCGTTACTAAAAATAAATGCTGGAATTCCCAATTTTTATAGTATCGCCAGATTTCATTACAAAGCATACTCCATATTGGTAGACAATCTTTACATATTTCCTTAACAAAAAGTTAGGTACACAATGCCATTGAAGTTTCAAATTTTAAAACAAACATGAATAGATTCAAAATCTATTTGATTGCAAAATGGTATAATGGTATATTTATTTGATTTATAAATGTGATTCAATCTGTTAAGCTATTACTCCTTTTATGGAAAACATTGTAAATATTTGTAACAGCTTTTGAATCAATATGCTGCACTTTTATTTGTACATCCAATAGTGCAACCGTACTGGACTTGTTTACAATGGGTTTTATGAATGAATAGAATAACTTATTTGTACTTGGTTTATTTTTGGTTTGTTTTAGTGCAACAGTATAGAACTTGTTTACAATGGGTTTTATCTGGGACACAATAACAACCGTTTTATACTGTTCAAGGTATTGTAAAGGTGTTTCTAAAATTAATAAGATTAAAATTAGATTCGCTACAGCTTGTAGCAACGTAAAAATTAACGAACCGAATATTTTCATTACCGGCAGGCTTCTAAAACAGGGCTACCGCTATCATAAATTACAGAAATATTTTACAAAATTTACAATCGTTATTTTGATTTAATTTCAAAATTCAAAAAAGATTTAAAAACTCTGGTTTAATGGAGCTGTGATTTACAAATTTCGTACGATTTTGAGTCACTTTAATTTTTCTGCTGTTTTTACTAAAATCATTAAGCCTTTTATTAAAAGAGGTGACGACCCTACCATTTTAAGACATACTGCATACTTAGTGTTCAATCCTTTTACAGTTGGACACTACGCTTCCTCTTTTGATTACATCTGACGGATCAAGTGGGAGACTCTTTGATGACTTTTGATGGACAGTTCATAAAGCCTTTTGGGTCTGAATTTGCTAAATGATCGTCTTTTGTCCTGCTTCGTTGGGTCCTTGTAGGTGATTTTTATTGCTCTGTCTTCCTTTAGGCTAAGACATTGAGTACTTTTGTTATGGTCATTGTGTTTACTTTTATATGTTTCTACATGATTATTTTGGTTACTTCTTATCTATTCCGATTGAACCATAACAAATGTTGGTAGGGATTCACTTTACACTGTCTTGGTGCACCATTAACCGATCTCCCAAGCAGTACTTGTTCAGCTGACCGTTCCAAGGCGGCGCCCTCTGTGTTCCTCAGATGTATGTCTATGTTGTTTAATACCATTTTGGTGACACTTTTGCTTTTGTCCCTTGTTGTTTTCTCATCTACGGTAAGTATGTTCCCCTTTGCCCTTGTTTTATTTCTTTAATTTACCACACCCCTTCCTGGGGTCTCCTGTCCCCTTCCCCTGTGCCATTGACTTTGTGGGCCTAATATTCAATCATTTATTTGTTTTCTTTGAATTCCTTATCAGTTACAAATTATTTATCATTTTAGTGATTAGGCTATCTGTGTTCTGCCTTGTGCCCTGTCTTGTTTTTGTTTGGGGTCCGCCTAGGCCATTTGTCACTAGTTCTTGTTGCTGGGTTATGTCGGGGCTGCGTTCATGGAACGCCGCTTTTCTATGTTGATCTTATTTATCATATTATTTTCTGCAATTACATCCTTCAATGGCCACACCCTAGCTGGATAGATTCCTCGCACTTGGTATATTTATTTGATTTTTTAAATGTGATTTTAATAGTTTAAATAGTTATTTATGTACTGTACACGAACTGCCACAATTCTTGTAGCCTTTGCAAATGGGATTGACCCATAACATTACCATCACATAACGCCAAAATAAAAGCGAGATATGAATTATGAAATATTAAGTATAGTTTTTGTCGTTAGATCGTTCTTAAATGAAATGTACGGAAAAAATATTTAACTTTCTAGTTAAAACGCTCAGATTTACAATACTTCCCCCCCCCAAAGTATACTTTATAAAGTTACTATGTATATTTTGATTTTCATTTTGTCAAAAGTTAACTAATTTTCCTTCTTGTTTCAAATGGGTCAAACTTATTTACCAAATAACCAATGACTCTTAGTCTCAGTTAGACATTTACATGTATCTCACTACTAGAAATACATATAAACATTTGTCACGAATGGCATTAATTAAACTGGAACAGAATACTAAAAGATTCAGTTTATACATGCTGGAAAATATAATGACTTAAAGATCCTGTATGTTTTGTGATTGATACTGTTACTTTGTGTATACTACACTTGCAAAAAATTATAAATGTATATAGTTATGCAAATGTTACAATTTTCAAACATCAAAGAATATGTAAAAAGTGTACGGCATATATTTGTGCACTATATTCAATCAATAAACTACATGCATTCATTTCTTATTGGAAAGTTTGACTTAGAATTTATAGAAAATAAATGGAAAATAAATTTCTAATTACACCCCTTTATTTATTTGAAATGTTTATTGGGTAATATCTTTAAAAATAATGCTTATTGGAACTTATTATATTGACAAATCTTAATTTGAGCATCATATTAATGAAATAAAACCATGGTAAAATCGTGTTACAGGATCTTTAATAAATATAAAAAAGGATTTAATTGAATAACAGTAATTACATGTGCATTTCAAGTTATTCTGAAATGAAATATTATCAAAAGTGAAACCAAACCTAAGTTAAATGCCGATTGCCAATTTCCGTAATTTCTTAATTGCTTTCAAATATAAACAATTACAAATAAAAAGAATAAACATCTTACCTTGTATGTTTCTCCAGAAATACAAAATTATTGATAAACCTGTAAACTTACACTGACTGCTTATATACATTTATTTGAAGTATTGCAAGACAAAAACTGACACGTTAGATAAATAATTTCATATGGACTTGTAATTTAATCGATCATAATAATAATGATAAAAAAATCCATTATGAAAGTACAACAAGGCGAAAAGGAAAGTGTTGCAGTTTCAGTTTGATCAAACCTGTTCAGGGACGATAGTGGTAACTGCAAGCTACCGTCCACGCCCCCTATAAACGGCTTAAGCCTAAGTCAACATTTAGCATGAACTAGTAAAAATGTTAATTTGGTAACATCCGCAGATATTTACACATGGTAGTTATCATCGGATCTTCTTTGAAGTAAGGATGCGAGGAATTATTTTGTTTGTTTGTTTCGGTTTTACGTCACACCAACACACTCTATGTCATATGGCGACTTTCAAGCTTTGCTGCTAAATATCTTAAGTGCCCCCGTGCCTTATCTAAGACATGAACGGGCATCTGAGTAGAATATCCATGATATCCTTTTTTATTGTTACGTCACGTGTCTAAATGATTACTCCACATGTCTAAATATAGAACGTCATCAGTGATTATATTAAGGAAATAGATCTTAGTTTTGAGTAAAGTATTGTAGAATAATGCACGGTTCGAGTTCAAATGCACACGAGGCCGCCGAAATGCCTGAGCAAATAATTACAAGGCATCTATAAAAATTATAACATGTTAATTAAAGAGAGAGCTGAAGTACATTTAGAGAGTAGAAGTAATTTTACTGACATCATTTGATTTAATGACGTCATATTTGACGTACATAAGCTATCGTTTATTGTGCTGTAAGTTTATTTTGTAATAATGCATTTGACAACCCCATGTATTTGAGTATTTAAGGCAGAGTGTAAAGCGCTTTCTAACACGACCCACATTTTCCCTATTGAAGACTGAAAATGTGTGTTATTATGCAATTAAATCACTGTTGGCGTTCTATATTTAGACATGTGACGTAACCATTAGACACACGACGTGTTCACCAAACATGCGACACGTTGTAAATAAGTGCGTTAACAAATCAGGCGCATCAGGTACGTCAGCATTTTATTTTTTGAGGTCGTGTTAGAATCGAAATTATAAATCCAAATCGGTGATTTAATCGCTCGATAAAATCACTCTTTGTCGCTCGGATGCGCATCATTATATCACCCGGACTCGTGTTATAATTTCTTGCATCCGAACTCGAAACAGTGATTTATTTAGCTATAAAATCACCCTTGGGATATATTATTTCTTAAATAGCAGACACATAAATGCATTTCTCATTTTGTTTTACTTTAAAATGTTTATTTACATTGTAATTTGATATCACCAATCTTAGTCATACAATTCGGATGTTTATGAGTGGCTATTGCGCAGAAAGTTTGTACTCTTGGATTGTTTTATTTAACCATTAATCAGGAAAAACGTTGAAACTGTCGAGCTATTACTCCTTTTATGGAAAATATTGTAATTATTTGCAACAGCTTTTGAATCGATATGCTGCACTTACATTTGTACGTTTTATTTGTACTTAATGTTTGATTTATGTTTCAAATAGTGCAACCGTACTGCACTTGTTTACAATGGGTTTTATAATGGACAGAATAACATATTTGTACTTGGTTTGTTTTTTTTTTGTTTTTTTTGTTTAAGTGCAACAGTATAGAACTTGTTTACAATGGATTTTATCTGGGACAAAATAACAACCGTTTTATACTGTTCAAGGTATTATAAAAGTGTTTTTAAAATTAATTAGATTAAAATTAGATTCGCTAGAGCTTGTAGCAACGTAAAGGATATTAACGAGCGGAATATTTTCATTACCAGCAAGCTTCTAAAACAGGGCTACCGCTATCATAAATTACAGAAATATTTTACAAAATTTACAATCGTGATTTTAATCTCATTTCAAAATTCAAAAGTGATTTAAAAACTTTGGTTTTACCGAGGTGTGATTTACAAATTACGTATGATTTTGGGTCACTTTAATTTTTTTGCTGTTTTTACTAAAATCATTAAGCGTTTTATTAAAAGAGGTTATGACCTTACTATTTTAAGACATACTGCATGCTTAGTGTTCAACCCTTTTACAGTTGGACACTTGATTACATCTGACGGACCAAGTGAGAAACTCTATGATGGTCAGTTCTTAAAGCCCTTTGGGTCTGAATTGGCTAAATGTTCGCCTTTTGCCTTACTTCGTCGGGCCCTTGTAGGTGATTTTTTGGTGCTCTGTCTTCCTTTAGGACATTGAGTACTTTTGTTATGGTCATTATGTTTACTTTTATATGTTTCTACATGTTCATTTTGGTGTTTTACTTGTCTATTCTGTTTTTACCATAACAACTGTTGGCGAGGATTCACTTTACACTGTCTCGGTGCACCATTAACCGATTTTAACTCCAAAGCAGTACTTGA